TTCAATCCCCTAATACCGTATTAAAGTGGTAGCCACAGAAATATCTATTCTGCCTGTTCAGTCCTCCAATACTGCATTAAAGTGGTAGCAACATAATAGCTTATATACAAATACAATGCCTACCCGTACAGTCCACCATTGATACACTTCCTCTAATACAATAGCGCAGTAGCCATAGGACGTAACTTATATACAGCAATCAATAAACAATAACATTACATGCATGCTTATTTCTCATTCCAACAAAAACTCTGTACTTTTCCTAAATGTAGCCGTTAATACTGGAGAGACCCGTGGTACCTGACATTCCAGAATCAGCCGAGCGGACCACACATTTTCTATGCTAAAAGTAAGAATGCGGCTTACCTCTGTTGACAGCGGCCACTGTGTTTTGTGTGTGATTCGCTCAGCTTCCTCCAGATGGCGCAGCACCCCATGGTCTCTTTTTCAGTCCCTTCGTGATCGCCAATTATGTTGTAGAAAATTGTCTTCGTCTTCAGTCAAACACAAAGTGCTTTCAGAGTTTTTGTAGAATTAAGATAGACTTTATTACAATCAATATAGCCGAGATGCTCTGCAGAACACCTCGCTATATTGATTGTAATAAAGTCTATCTTAATTCTACAAAAACTCAAAGTACTTTGTGTTTGACTGAAGACAAGGACAATTTTCTACAACACTATACTGTTTTTTATAAGGATAACATGGGTTCATGGTAGGCCCATCACAACATTTAATTTTAAAGAGAAAGCAGGTGTCATGATCCCACGGGAAATAGGTCTATGGGAGTTATTTTATGCTCCGGGGTTGAGAATATATGTATATCTAGAGACCAAAAAGCTGAACAGATAAGCATATTTTTGATTTGGAGGGAAATAGCATTGAAAGAAATTGATTGGGTGCCGCTAGTATAAATATCTATGCAACTTCTATCCAAAGCCACATACAGTCGTGTGTATACATTTTCATACGGCTGGACTCAGGAATCGAACCCATTATCCTGACATTGTAAGGGCCATGCTCTACCAACTGACAGACCCAGGGTCAGGATAAAGTGACTAAGGGGGCAGTTGAATTCACTGAGGGGGCTACATTATGGGGGGGTTTTGCATTGGTATTATATTGAATTACACTTATATAATTACACTATACCATAATAAACATAAAGCTTTTGAACTCTGTAGCCCCTCTGCTGCGCTGTATCAGCACAATGGACAGCAATGCCATTTAGATGGGCAATTACCCTATTACAAACAGCCTATGTAAATGCAGCCGTACACACAGCTGTCTTACCAAAATAATGCAAACTAAATGCTGAAAGTAGTAGCCTAGTTATTCATGCAGTCAAACAAAAATACTGAATATCGGTTTGGCTTAGAATACTTACACAACTGCGAATACGAACGAATGAATGTGAACAGAACAAAACAGCGGTACCAAGTAGTAGGCCTAGTAAACAAAATGTCATACCACCCTGCATCTCACTGCTGGCTTGCCTCTGAAGCTAAGCAAAGTTGGTCCTGGTTGGTTCCTGGATGGGATACCAGATTCTGCTGGAAGTGATGTATGAAGGCCAGTAGGAGGAACTCTTTCCTCTGTTCTAAAAAAATATATCCTAATGCCCCAGGGCGGTGAATTGGGACATCTGTGTAGGGTGCCATCTTTCGGATGGGACGTTAAACGGGTGTCCTGACTCTCTGTGGTCACTAAAGATCCCATGGCATTTATCGTAAGAGTAGAGGTGTTAACCCCGGTGTCCTGGCTAAATTCCCAATCTGGCCCTCATACCATTATGGCCACCTAATCTTCTCCAGCTTCCAATTGGCTCATTCCTCTCCCCTGTAACTATTCCCCAGGTTGCTGTAAATGATAATAAGTTCTCAGTCAACTTACCTGGTAAAATAAGGGATAAATAAAATGCATGACACAATCTATATTGAGGCTAGTTACTTTAACAGTAAACAAAAGGCGAATGGAGATCCAAATAACCAAAACATTGCCTGAAGCCTAATACAGTGAGATGCAGCCATGCACAGCTGTCTTGCCAAACAAATAGGCTCATAGGCCCGCTTCAAACATGGAAAATCATGCCGCTCACTCATGAGTTCAGCAACAGGTTGTGATATGGCCAGTGCTTAATTTGAGCCGGATCCGGCGCCTCTCCATTTTGGACTGTTTTGTTCCGGAACCTATTTGGCCGGATCCAGTACCTCTCCTGGCATTAACAACATTTTAAATGTAAAAATTCTAATAAAAGCGATCAAAGTTCATTTGAGTTGCCTCTTAGTTAATTATCCTGCCCCCACAAAAAGCATAATGTAAAAAAAATAGATTTTCAGCCCGGGCCTAATATTCTAAGAGTTGATTTGGGTTGGCCCGGGTTTATGGTTTGCACAACATTGTAACCCTATGTTTGAAACCAATGCATGGCCTTGGCTGTGTGAGATGCGCGCCAGTATGTCTCACATAACTAGAATGAGATTCACTTTCTAATCTGATAGACATGAGCCTGAAACTCTCCAGCGTTGCACTACATCATTTATTTCCTTATAGAATCATAGCCACACGAATGGTTAAATACATTTTCCAAAGTTATAGAATTACTGCTGTCTGTTCAGAAATAAATGAAATTTTAGCCTAATAACAAGGAATTGCCTACAGTCGGGAGCGTGCGGTAAATCTGAAAAAACAGCATGCAGACAAAACAGGCCTTTCACAATATTTCAAATACAATCGAGGGAAAACACAGGTTGGAAAGCAAATCGCGCCTGCTGAAAAGAGAAGACTCTATGCTGTAGGCTACCAAAATATTTGATCAAATTCCAAATATTGTTTTACAAGAGAGAGAGAGAGATAGGCTTTTTGCACGAGCGCATCGGCCATCACTAGCGAGTGAGCTGTGCATCATTGGGTGAGTCATTGAAACTGGAAATAATTTTTAGGACTATAATTTCTCCTCATATTGTAGCATACAATATGTGTCTCCACACACCTAGGCTATTGATGGATTCAAGACAAAGTCATTTTTATTGATCTCAGATTCTCAGTTTGTCAGTGTCAAAGTAGCCTCCAGTCTCCAGTCATGTAAAATGATGTAGAATTGCATGAAATACGTTTATAAATGGCCAACATTTTCCCGGACCCTAGGCTACTAAAAATGTTCCCCATGTGTGCAACTTCTATAAGTGCCTCTACTCTACTGCTCTATGCCACTAAGCGCAAATGCTGTATTATAAAGGTTATTTTTTATGCGTTCCGGTACCTCAGAACTCCCCAGGTCACCCCACTCTCGCACTCACTTTTTGTTCCGGCACCTCCCATTTGACAAATTAAGCACTGGATATGGCACAATACACTTCTGTGAATCAAATTCGACCCACGTAATCAATCAAACAATGCCAGCCTACCATAAACATGTTTCCAATATGGACAGTTAATTGAAATGCATTCCAGGTGACTACCTCATGAAGTTGGTTGAGAGAATGCCAAGAGTGTGCAAAGCTGTCATCAAGGCAAAGGGTGGCTATTTGAAGAATGTCAAATATAAAATATATTTTGATATGTTTAACACTTTTTTGGTTACTACATGATTCCATATGTGTTATTTCATAGTTCTGATGTCTTCACTATTATTCAACAATGTAAAAAACAGTAAAAATAAATAAAAACCCTTGAATGAGTAGGTGTGTCCAAACGTTTGACTGGTAGTGTAATATCTATCAAAGGGATGTAACCCAAACAAAGACTGAGGTATAACCTCTACACAATACACAGGACGAGACCCGTAAACAACAAGAGCACAATACACGGTACTCACAAGACCAACAGACAAGGACAATGTGGAACAGAGGTGACATATATACACATGCTAATCAGAGGGAATGGGAACCAGGTGTGCGTAATGAGACAAGACAGTCCGGGGTTGGTGGTAATGATCTAGTTCAGTGACACCTAGAAAGCCGGTGACGTAGACCTCCGTAGCTGGTGAAGGGGATGAGCAGCAGTACCGGGGGGATCCGTGACAATAACTCCACCTTGCCTCCTTAGGTAAAGTTACATCCAGATAGCTTGCACCTGACTACAAATAATTTCAGATCTTCACAACTGCATAAAGTTTAGGTGATAGTTTGGGATTAGCACTTTGACCTCACATCTTGTACAGTTTGGCAAGAATTCTCTGGTGGTCTGTGTGCCCCTTAACAACAAAGATATATTTTAACAGAAACGTAAATTAACGATTAGTCTTAATAGACTTTACACAAAGCACAATATGAACTTTAGCTCAAATACAACCTCATTCAAAACAAGCTAAACATGGGTTTTCAAAACACACATTGCACATATTGTTATAAAATATATGCCAAATTGTCCCTTAAACCTGACTCCATATGCACTAGTGAAGCCCATCTGGACATATTATTTTGACAGGTATAAGCATTCTTGGTATAACTCCACCTTGCCTCCTTAGGTAAAGTTACTTCCAGATAGCTTGCACCTGACAAATAATCTCAGATATCCACTAGTGCATATGGAGTAAATTTTCAAACAAAGCTGTTTTTTTATCAGGAATTGACAATGTCTCTTATGACTTCACCTGACAAAGAGCATCATGTAAACTGTAGCTCCTATACCCTATACCACCTAGCAACTAGCTTTTCAGCTTACTGAGTAGGGTTTAGACCACCGTTTGTGAGTGGCCCTTTGAGTGTTCTCATAGATATATTTAGATTTCTCTAAAAATAAAGTAACTTCATCTTTAGAGCTTGGACCTGTGGGGAGGTCCTGAGATCATTGAGGTCCTGAGATCATCAAGTTCCAAGAATACTTTTTGGAACACCTCAAAGGTATATTTCAGTTCTTTGGGGTACCTTAGATTTAAGCCATAGACCCATAAGCAACGTACATGACTATGTAACACTGGGAATACCAGCCAGGACCTCTGCTCCTTCGATGCAGATCCCATGCTCTATATTCTGGTGCAGATCCTTCACAGTGAATACCTTCATCACATGCTGAACGAGGTCCTCTCGGGTCATGGTGTCGTTAGCATCCTGAGTGAAAAAATTGAGAAATAACAGACTAGGCTACTAGATTAAATGTGCAACTTGAGAGGAGAGAGAGGGAAAGAAAGGAAGATACCTAATTTAGAGATAAATAAGGATACAAAAATAAAAACATTTACCTTGTATTCTGTGGTAAGGTCTTCAACCCTCTCGCCGAGGTATATGATCAGGCCACGGATCACACTGTTTCTTCTTTCCTGGATTATGTTGCACTGTAATATGATGTTATACAAATAATTGCATTTAGAGAGAGAGAGAAAAAGAGAGAGAGAGAGAGAGAGAGATGAGAGAGAGAGAGAGAGAGAGAGAGAGAGAGAGAGAGAGAGAGGAGGAGAAGGGGGAGGAAACATCTTCTAAACAGATAAGGACAAAAGATGATCTGAGAGTCAGAATGCAATTGGGAAACCCCTCCCAAAGCATGTGCAGAGTGAGAATGTTCAGACTAATCTTTAATGCATATTTAATTGTAGATTAGAATATTAGGTCAAGACAACACAACATATTTAAATCAATATACATTTTTTACCTACATTGACTGTTTTCATTCAGCTGTACCTGAGCGGGCTCAAACAGGGCTGGCCATCTTTCTTTGAAGTCCTTCACAGGAAGGGCCTGAACGACATCTTGTCTTCGATATGAGCAGGTCTTTGCCATTTTGGCACTCACAATGTTGTGGTTGTCACGTATTTGTACTTCTCCCAGTAGCTCCACTCACTCCCTCTCCAGGGTCTCATCTGTTTCTCCATCAGGGTGGGGTGGGAGGTAATTTACCTCCACCTTCATAGTTTTTTAAAAGTTATTGGCAATGTGCCTGTCCTCTGGTGATTTTCTCTTGACAGAGTTCACTCCCAGTTCTGGGCAACCAAATCCTCTCAGTTCCGATCTGTAATTGCCCACCTTGTACTTCAGGCTGGTTTGCCATCCGTACAGGCCTGAGAAGCACCCAGGCTCTTTAAGGCATGGGTACTTTTTTACCAAAGCTTCTGCAACTTGCCAAATATGTAGACTTGACGGATAGGCTGTAAACTGGAAGATCCTTTCAGACAGTTTCCCCAGGATGTCTGATTTCACAGACAGATTGTTGAGTGGTGTTCCAGCCTTCACGTGTGCTTCATTAGCTGCCCCAAGAATGAGCTCTGTATCATAAACAAAGCGAGGAACTTCAAACTCAGATAGCCACGGACTGGAGCGGACAATATCTACTTTCTGGAGAGGACAATATCAAAGTGTCACGTGATCCAAGGGAGCCCCTCTCATCCGATGTCTCTGTGGAGCTGTTATTGAGTTCTTGTACATTTAAAGTAATAAGAGCTGGGGGGTCAAGGTCAACCACTTTGATGGTGTCTTTATCCTTTAGGTCTTCAGTATCAAGCAAAGAAATGAACTGATCTCCAAATTCATTGTCCATGTACTGTAGAACATATTATTTTTGCACAAATATGCCAAGCTCAGCCAAAGTAGCAGGGATTCCAGAAGGCAATGTTAGCTCACGGATATCAGGGCCCTCCAACAGGACCTGTAGCCTGGTAGACGTTTCTGTTCTGTTGTAGTGAAAGTGATCCTGTCAAGAAAAAATGCATAAAAGTTATCAAATGAGTATGTTGTCAAACATGGGTATCCCATTAAATCGTTATCAAGTGCTGCTTATTAGATCTCATAATAATAAACGTGCAAAACCAAGCATTTCTATTCTATACCCAATACTAAATTCGGCATGAGTTCTACGAGCAATGCATTGTTTTAAACACATGTACCCATGTATAAATACACCACATTTAAAACGTGTATAAAACTAATATTGCAGGTAAATATGGTGCTTCAGGGTTACCATGCGCTTTTGGCCAACAGCGTGTGCTGTTAGTGGGTAGATGTCTGCTAATTCCTTTTGCTCAATGACCTTAAGCTTCTGTGTGGATTCCAGCTCAAACCCCCTAAGGTGCTCATTATACCAAGCATTCTGACACTTTACAATAAAAGCAAGTTCACCATGAACAACGATGATTAGAAGTATTTCAACAAAGTCTGGTAGACCTCCAGTCAACTTTAACATGTTGTGAATATGTGAACAACAAGAAGGTTTCTGCAAGGACAGGTGTAGCTAGATAGCTAGGTGTACAGTGGAGAAAAAAAGTATTTAGTCAGCCACCAATTGTGCAAGTTCTCCCACTTAAAAAGATGAGATAGGCCTGTAATTTTCATCATAGGTACACGTCAACTATGACAGACAAATTGAGAATTTTTTTCTCCAGAAAATCACATTGTAGGATTTTTTATGAATTGATTTGCAAATTATGGTGGAAAATAAGAATTTGGTCACCTACAAACAAGCAAGATTTCTGGCTCTCACAGACCTGTAACTTCTTCTTTAAGAGGCTCCTCTGTCCTCCACTCGTTACCTGTATTAATGGCACCTGTTTGAACTTGTTATCAGTATAAAATACACCTGTCCACAACCTCAAACAGTCACACTCCAAACTCCACTATGGCCAAGACCAAAGAGTTGTCAAAGGACACCAGAAACAAAATTGTAGACTTGCACTAGGCTGGGAAGACTGAATCTGCAATAGGTAAGCAGCTTGGTTTGAAGAAATCACAAGAACGGTGAGCAAAAATCCCAGAACCACACGGGGGGACCTAGTGAATGACCTGCAGAGAGCTGGGACCAAAGTAACAAAGCCTACCATCAGTAACACACTACGCCGCCAGGGACTCAAATCCTGCTCTAGAGGGGATCTGCATGGAGGAATGGGCCAAAATAGCAGCAACAGTGTGTGAAAACCTTGTGAAGACTTACAGAAAACCTTTGACCTCTGTCATTGCCAACAAAGGGTATATAACAAAGTATTGAGAAACTTTTGTTATTGACCAAATACTTATTTTCCACCATATTTTGCAAATAAATTCATTAAAAATCCAACAATGTGATTTTCTGGATTTTTTTCTTCTCATTTTGTCTGTCATAGTTGACGTGTACCTATGATGAAAATTACAGGCCTCTCTCATCTTTTTAAGTGGGAGAACTTGCACAATTGTTGGCTGACTAAATACTTTTTTCCCCCACTGTAGTTAGCTAGCTAGCTACGTATTGTTCGTTCCTGTCTCTGCATGACTAGCTTGCCTAGCAGGCAAACATTACATTTCAGGGGCACCATGTGTTCAGTTCTACTGTAATGTTTGCTGACGATGCATTTTTTGGTAAGCTAGGTAACTAATATGTTACATAGCTATTTCGGTTAATATAAAACATACACAAAAATGACAAATGTTAGAAACAGCGCTGAGCGGTAAATGCACTGCTAACTTACTAGCTAGTAGAATGCCCTCCACTAGCTAACTGTACAGACATCACGGCCGTTAACTAGCTAGATTATCAACGTGCAAAAATATATCGTACTCTGGCAATATAGCTAGCTAAAGGCTTTTCATGCTTGAAGAATGTTATTTAACATTTTCCACAAAATACTTTCGACATTTCATCGAAAAGAGAGAGATCCAAACTACATTCCAAGTTATAATTTGGTCCTTACATGCCGCATGGCCATTCCAGAGAAGAAAGATCAAGACAATATCTGTTGAACTGTTGCAAGCACAATTTGCATTCAGAACTAGATCTAGTTATTCTAGCACGTCAGTCCAAAATAATAATGATAATTTGAATATCATATTTTTAAGTTGTTGGTTGTTACTTAGAAATATTCATTCAAATTTAGCAGCATATTACCTTGGATTTTTATTTGCAAATGGCAGTCTTTTTCAACACATATAAATTAAGTACTATTTTCAAAAATGTAAGTAAAACCAGAAACCTATTATTTTAAGTTAAAATCATTGATTTTCTTTTGCAATATTTACTAAGCCCATTGGTCATTTTGTACAGTGTAATCAATCAATCCATTCTCCCCGAAATCTTCTTGTAAGATCCCGTTCAAATGCCAGTTGGATTTGTTGTTATTTGTTTGGGTACTTTGGCGAAGCCAACTTCTGGTATCCACATGGCAGATTAGATGGTTCGAGCTAGCTAAATAGGCTAATAACACTAACACTTTTTAAAGCTATAGCTAAGAGTGAAGCAGTTTCAAGAAAAAAAAAAAAAAAAAAAAAAAAAAAGAGTGAAGCAGTTTCAACAGTAAACTTGACCCCACCATTTTAAATCAAAATCAAATATTACAGCCGGAGGCATATCACATTATTCACTTAGCCTATAACAGAGATGATGAGAGTTTTCCCCACTTTTTACGGAAACCCAAAGGAGTCATATCTAACCACCCAAAGGCTTTCCATAGCACCGCTGCTGCAACCACCATGCTCTACCAACTGACAGACCCGGCGTCAGAATAAAGTGACTAAGGGGGCAGTTGAATTCACTGAGGAGGTTACATGATAAACATAACGGATTTGAAATCTGGTCTCAGAGCATTTTGTATTATTCGGTACATAAATCCGAGACACTCCATTTAGTATGACATGTTACGTTTTGTAATTTGAGAATTTCCATCATCCATTTTCGTATGATATGTTGCGAATTACAATTTGTATGACATGTTGCGAATTTGCAAAAAGTACAATATGTTACGAATTTGCAAAACGTACAATAAGTGTTTGCCTTAACGCTACAATATGTAACAGATTTTTTTGCCGCCAACCAGTCACTCAATCATTTTAACTTTTTTGCTATTTTTATATAGGGACATAAAACTAAAACTGAGGAGGCTAAAGTTTGAATCTTTTGCCCCCTCGTGGCGCAAGCCCACCAACTGAGATACAGAGGACCATGGGATAATTTTACGGGCTCATTACATTTTTGACTACTCTTCTTGACCAAAAAAAGTGTTGAACTAAAATGAAAATCAAAGGGAAATGCAATAGGAGTGGCACATAATGCTATTAACTGTGTCAGTACTGTGTCAATTAAGAAACACCCCACAAACATCACCCCATTGGCCCCATGTGGGTATTCGGTGGGCAAGGTTGGCATGGGCTAGCCCACACCAGCCCAACACAGGCTATCCTACACCAGACCAGCACAGGCTAGCCCACACCAGCCCGAGATGGGCCAGCCCACACCAAGCCCAAAACAGGCTAGCCCACACCAAGCCCACACCAGCCCGATATGGGCTAGCCCACATCAGTCCAACACGGGCCATCCCACACCAAGCCCAACACGGGCCAACCCACAACAAGCCCAACAGGGGCTAGCCCACACCAAGCCCAGCACAGGCTAGCCCACACCAAGCTCAGAACAGGCTAGCCCACACCGGGCCCAGCTAGATGCGGGGGCTCATAACATTTTTTGGGGGCATGGTTTGTACACAGTTATTTTTGTGCAACTGTCGTTCCACTTTAAGTGTTCTGTTGTGATGGCCAACAAACAAACAAAAAACGTAAATAAGTGCTTGTGAGAAACTGAACACGTATATGTATGGTAGTAACAACCTGGTTGTCTACATGGGGCCAATATTCTTTGCCCATATAAGGCCCACATCATGCCAATATGAGCATATTGCTGGGAAAAGATTTCAGGCAAATTGAAGGCTGCCTTTACATATGGGCTGCCCACACTAGGCAACACTGGGCAAATGCCTTGGTGGCCAATGTAGAGCCAATGAACAAAGGCGCATTGGCCCAAATGTTGGCAGCCTAAATAGGGACAATACTTTAGCCCGCATTGCGCCCACATCGTGCCAATGTCACTGACCTACTACCCCTGCTGATGACACATGGTAAGACAGACGCCATGACTGAAAAGGAGGGAGCCTAATCCTCAGTGACTCAATGCAAGCCTTGCTGGAGAAAGGGAGGCCCTTGTCCTGAAGTGATAAGACTAGACCCCTCGTTCAGATTGTTTGATCCTAGTTGCGCAATCATTCCTATTTTAATAACCATCATTTACCATATTTTTCCTTCTCCCTACTAAAATAGATGGAATGTTCTGATGGACTACTGTTACACCACTGCCTCTGGGAATCCAAACGATGAACTTCGCTATGACCTCTTCTTTAGGTAATTCTTATGCATGTTTCTCTGAAGCAATTTCTTTGAGAACAGTGCGGTAGTGTGATTTTTCTATCTGTTTTGTTGTTTTGCCTTTGTTTCTGAACCAGCTGTGACAAAGACCCACAGACAACAGTGTTCGAGAATGGGAAGAGTCAAATGGGCCGTTTTGCCTTTGAAGTGTTCCGCTTTGTCAAGCACAAGAACCAGAAAATGTCTACCGTCTTCCTGCACTGCGTTACCAAGCTGTGTCGAGCCGATGACTGCCCCATGCTCATGCCGGTGAGGTTCTGAGGGTGACCTCTGGTAATATTAGTCCAAAAAGCATTCACACCAAGATGAGAAACAAAGCAACGACTTGGTACCGTTAGTAACATGTTGGCAATTTGAACTCAAAGCAAAACTATTTGGATTAAA